GGTCAATTGGCGATTCGTCAGCGGCCCATATTTAACGACTCGATTCACCCGATATTTGCGGAGTACGGTGAGAGAGAGACCTCTAACGTTAATGTTTCCTGTCGATAGGATTGTTATACAATGTACGTCTCTTAACGGCTCGGACTCGTTATAACGGTTGTCGGCGACAGCGGTATTTGTTTTGTGCTTGATTGGTCGGTCGTCTTCTCGCAAGGGAAAGGGCAATCTATTCTTCTGAGAGATAACACATACGTTTGAGAAATTTCCACAACTCCACAACCTTTGTCTTATCTGCTTCTCGTTCAACCGCCTTAAGAATGATAAAAGAACCAGTTGATCTGATGTCGTTACGGTAGCGACTTTTTTTTCCCTTTGCCCGTATCGAACAAAATAGCCGTTGAAACCATATCGCGTTTATGGTTTCGTTAACCAGTAAGGGCAATATGGGTTCATCAAAAGGTTCGAAGTTCCGTGAGTATCCTTGACGTAGCTGCAGGTGTACCCTGATGGGCGCATGACGATACTGTGGAGTACCGACATGCGGCTCACACTCATTGGCTAGGGTCTCTAAGATCTGGAGATCGCAGCGTATTTTCGAGATCCAAGATGAACTTGAACGCGGGAAAGTATTTGTCTGTATTGTCTGTCATTATCTCTTTAAATGCTATCACTCGTTACTACCCGTAAACGTATAGGGACAGACCCTGTCGTCATCTCACGAGGCGTCCAAGTAATCTATCAGCGATTTGTTCAATGCTTTGCTGTGTCTCTATCGTCTTGATCAACAGTACGACTCGCTTATCGACTATGTGCACGCAACGGCCATGAAAATATCGTTATGTCATACACATACGTATGAGATATTTGTGGCTCTAGCACGAAGAACCAATCAGTTTTCTGTTTTGGTAAGAATCGTCCTTTATCTTCTTTCTGATTTTGACAGAAGATTTTGATCCTTTCGTTCTTTCTTGAGTATTAATTCTTCTCGAAATACTCTCAATCTCGTCGGCTGTGAAGGAAAACGCTCGTTGGATCACCCGACATGGTCGTTGAGTTTTTTAGTGCGCGAGAGGAAAGAGAAAAGAAAGAGGGCTTTATCGATTTTCCAATAGGGTGGCGGCGAATCGTATAGGACTATCGCAACTTTTGCATCTTCTGCACCTAGTACATCTCTATTAATGGAAGATTATGGCGATTAGAGAACTTCTTGTCTTCGCCGTCGTAGTGTCTCGATTAGCATCATTATCGTCGTTATCGTTATCATTGTTATGTTTATCATCTGTATTACCCAACATGGAGGATGAACATGTCGAGTGCTAGTATACATAAACGAAATATTCAATGCAAAATTGATCATCTATTTCTAATACGTGTTCAGACATATTCGCCTTTCACTTCTTACTATGACTAAAGTTAATTTTCTTAAACTTTAAAACAATGTTGGTCACCACTATCCACCTGTCGGCAATGTTTTTACTGTGACTCTTGAATCGACGGTCTTTATATTATTAAGACATATAGCTTCTTTAAATATCGATAATGTTGTTATTAGGTATTCCAAAAAACACGTCTTGAAAACAAGATAATCTAACATCCTCATTCCCGTATGGTAACATTTTAAAATCGTCGCGAATATATTCTTTCCAAAGAATCGAGTTAGAATAATCGAAAACGTGACATTTTCGCACAAGGAGGAATATATATATATATATAGATATATATCTATATATATATATATATATATATATATATATTACTATAATAAGATGAGGATATACGAGGCTACGCCCCCCTGCGTGGGGCATATAACCGTTGAGACAATAGAAACACAAAAATAAAAACCGAAAGACGAATTAGGGAATATCGGTAATGACAATAACACCAACTACAAACTCTTGTGGACGCATGAGAATTTTTTTTTCGGGGTTGGGGAAACTAGTAATGTGTTGTATTAGGAGTCAGTCCTTACAACGCTCAAGTCGATTGTTACGATTTCCGTTGTATATCATGTGTATATTTTGTCGAAAAATTATCATTTCCTAATGTGTATATCTGTCGAAATATTCAACATCCGTTATATACTCTGTCGAAATACTATCATCCGTTGTTCATCATTACGGGTACTCTGTCGAGTGTTATCATTGTCGAGTAGCAAAGAAACTCTCATGGTCGATGAGTGTTTATCGTTATCAACAAATTCATCGTCGTTGTTATCGTCACCCTGATCATCGTCACGTTATCATGATCGTCCTCATCAACAACAGAAACCACTGGTAGTGATACCGTTATGTTTTTGGAAGGACCATAGATTCTCCAGATTAGAACCAACGAAATTTGAACACTTCTCCAATGAACGTACCCAACCGCAATACGATCTCTTAAACTGACGCAGGAGTTGCATGTAAGGCTCTGTGGACGCGTGAGTGTCAATAGATTTTGCCTCGTCATGCGTTAATATCACCAGGCCTCCTCCTTTCTTTGCTCTTCTCCTACATTGTTTATTTCCACGAGGTACATTTAGTTATAGTCCTGGTCGCGAGAAAATTCGAAATCTCTTCGATAATAATCGGATCTGCATGATTTTATTTTAGTACGAATAACGTTGATGAGTTTAAACTATGGAAAGAGCTGCTCCTGCTCCTAAAAAAAGAACATCTGATAGGCGTCCATCTTGAAGCCGGAACTTTGAGGGTCAACGGCGATCGTAGTAAAGCGGTATTACCGAATGCACGACGAATGGGCGGTTAAAAAATCCGGGAACAGCTGCAGCCATGAGGCGTGTGGGACTGATGAAGCGACAAATTTCCTCGTCGGGGAAGAGCATCATCCGTAGGAATACAGAACCTGAGTCGTCGACTTTGGGTATCTTACTCCGAGGACGGGAAGCCGTAGTTCGATTGTTGTGTTTCCTGTCCCTTAAAATCCCCCTCGAAAGTTATCCTGAATGGAGCGGATAGGGAAAGCGCACACGCAGACCCGAGACGGAGGTTGGCGGCGTTGTGAACACGGCTGATGATATCCGAATCGTCCCCGTAGGTACCGTGATGGCATTCGTGACCGACGAACTTCGTGAAATAGAAAGGGTATTCTCCGGGAACAGAACAGTTGAGTCTGCTTTTCAGGAAAGACGCCTTTGGTCTGGGTCTTCTTATCCATCGGTCGTTCTTGCACACGCGAGCAATTCTCGAATAGACCCGTTTGCCGCAGTTTAAGGATTCTAGGGCAGTTTCACGAAAGACGAAATAGATAAAGTCGCCATAATCGAAAGAGTGCACAAAGCTGGATCGTTAAGCTGTTCGTACACGGCCGCTCTTGTCGTAAGTTGATTCTTGGAAATGACGTGAGTTATACCCTGAAAATCTGCCACCGTCCCGGAATACAACTCGCCACCGACATACACGTGTGTAGAGTTCTGTCTAGGACCGAAAGGACATTGGCCAACGCCGCCTCTTCGTTTCGGTATAATTAAAACTAGCGCCGTCGGCCAGTCGAACGTATCGACGACATAGAGGGACTATAAGCGTTTGTGCCACAGACTAGAAACTGTTCTCCGTCTTCTCTCTTTATGACCCGAATATAATTCTGACAATCCTCCTCCGTATCTTCCCTTCATTATACAGTCGCGAACGCCTCTCTCGGCGGATGCCATATTATTCTTTGGTCTATGTTTTCTTGCATGTCCCTAATCGAAAGGTTATATATCGCATTTCTTCCTCCGACGAGTATAGAATTATCATCTCTCTCCAGCGCTCTAAGTAGTCTGTGGCGATGCTATTATTTCCTGAGAAGGTCTGTACCTCTGCGTTCTCGGACGATACGATACGTTGGAGTTGACGATGTTGTAAAGTCATCACCGACAAAAGCGTATGTCGCGAGAGAAAAGAAAGACCAGACCGAAAAGCCGGAACGTCGACATGTTGATATTTCTATGCAAGCGTTCTCTCCCTCCTTCAGCTCTCATGAAGTAAAGAGTTCGAGTCCTAGTTTTTCAGGATATGTGCTTATTATGGATCCCCGTGCCGAGAGCTCCATATATCTTTTCCGTTCTTTTATCACGATATTATTTTAATGGTCTCTCGGCCGAATGTTTCGCGTATCGTTCCCTTTCTTATATTTTTATAATCCCTATGTGACTCTTAATATCAACATTACCATTATAAGTGTTAATCTTCCATATGAGGTTTGTTTCAGTTTGTTTAGGATTGCGATTCAATGATTTCAGCTTGTGTAAGATTAGAGTCAAGATAAATAATGAATTAACCAGTTATAATTTATAAATATCTGCATATGGCATGTTGTTAGGACTATTGCAGGATTTGTTGTTTTACAATAAGAACCTACATAGATACATATATAAATATATACATATACATACAAATACACACACCCAATATTATATAATATATCACACATAATACTACAACCTATATATATCATATATAAATCCAAAGATGACGCTGATGGGGACGAACGACGTCTCACGATAACTGCGAGGGCGCATACGAGCACGACAGCCACGTAAATTGATCATGAAACGATATAATGAAACACGTCTGTCTATCTTGGAGGAACTGTAAGGTCAACGGATTAACAGACTTGTATTTGCAGAAAACTGTCATGTGTATTTATGTTAATAATCCATAGATGACGCTGATGGGACGACGACGTACCACACAACTGCGAGGCACTTATAGGTGTGTAGTATATGTATGTATTGTATATAAATGATAATGTATCTAAGTAGGTATCTTATTGTAAAACAACAAATCCTGCAATAGTCCTAACAACATGCAATATGCAGATAATTAATAAATAAAATGGTTAAATTCCAATTAATTTTCTTGACTCCTAATCTTACACAAGCTGAAATCCATTGAAACGCAGATCCTAAACCACACTGAAACCAAACCACATATGGAAGATTAACACTTTATAATGGTAAATTTTGATATTCAGAGTCCAACATATGGATTATAAAACATATTAAAAAGAGAACGATACGGCGAAAACATTCGGCCGATAGATCATAACAATAATATCTGATAAAAGAAACGGAAAAGCTATATGGAGCTCACGCCGGGGATCCTAATAAGGCACATATCCTGAAAACTAGGACTCGACTCTTTACTTTCATGAGAGCTGAGGAGGGAGAGAACGCATGCATAGAATATATCAACATGTCGACGTTCCGGCTTTTCGGTCTGTTTTTCTTTCTCTCGCGACATATGCATTGTCGGTGATGACTTTTACTACATCGTCTACATCCCAACAGTATCCGTAATCGTCCGAGAACGCAGAGGTACAGAACCTTCTCAGGAAATAATAGCAATCGCAACAGACACTTTAGAGCGCAGGATAGAGATAGATATTCTATACTCGTCGGAGGAAGAAATGCGATTATAATAACCATTCGATTAGGGACATGCAAGAAAACAAGACCAAAGAATAATTGGACTCCGACGAGAGAGGCGATCGCGATTGTTTAATGAAGGGAAAAATACGAGGAGGATTGTCAGAATTATATCGGGTCATAAAGAGAGTAGACGGAGAACATTTTCTAGTCTGTGGCACAAACGCTTATAGTCCCTCTATGTCGTCGAATACGTTCGACTGGCGACGGCGCTAGTTTTAATTATACCGAAACGAAGAGCGGCGTTGGCCAATGTCCTTTCGGTCCTAGACAGAACTCTACACACGTGTATGTCGGTGGCGAGTTGTATTCCGGGACGGTGGCAGATTTTCAGGGATAACTCAAGTCATTTCCAAGAATCAACTTACGACAAGAGCGGCCGTGTACGAACAGTCTAAACGATCCCATCTTTTGTGCACACCTCGATATGCGACTTTTATCAATTTCGTCTTCGTGAAACTGCCGCTAAATCCTAAACTGCGGCAAACGGGTCTATTCGAAGAATTGCTCGCGTGTGCAAGAACGACCGAGGCGTAAGAAGAACCCACCAAATGGACGACTTTCCTGACAGCAGACTCAACTGTTCTTTTCCCGAGAATACCCTCTTCTATTCACGAAGTTCAGTCGGTCATACGAATGCCTCACCGGTACCTACGGGGACAGATTCGCAATATCATCTATGCCGTGTATCAAACGCCTCCCAACTCCGTCTCGGGTCGCCGTGTGCGCCTTCTCTATCACGCTCCATCAGATACTTTTCGATGGGATTTAAGGGACAGGAAACACAACAATCGAACTGGCTTCCCGTACCTCGGAGTAAATATACCCAAAAGTCGACACCAGGTTCTTGTAGTCCTACTGAAGAGGCTCTTCCGACATGAATTTTGTCGGCTTCATACAGTCACACCTCCTCATGGCTGCAGCGTGTTCCCTGGATTATTTTTTTAACCGCCCTTGGTCTGCATTGCATTCGGAATACCGCTTTACTACGATCGCCGTGACTCCCTCACGTCCGCCTTCAAGATGGACGGACTAACGATGTTCTTTTTTTAGGAGCAGGAGCAGCTCTGTCAATTAGTTTAAACTCATCAACGTTATATCGTATGAAAGAAGAAAGAGGAGATGAGAAAAATCGAAAATATATATTCTGCAGAGCCGATTATTATCGCAGAGATTCGAATTTTCTCGCGAACCAGCGACTATAACTAACATGTACCTCGTGAAAGAAACAAATTAGGAGAAGAGCAAAGAAAAGAGGGGAGGCTGGTGATATTAACGCAAGACGAGGCAAAAATATAATGACACTCAAACCTGTCACAGAGCCATGGACCATGCAAATCCGCGTCATTTAAGAGAACGTATTGCGGTTTGGACGTTTCATGAGAGAAAGTGTGTCAAAAATTCGTGTGGTACTAATACTGAGAGAATCTAGGTCCTTCAAAACATAACCGGGTAATCACAACCAGTGTGCCTGTTAGATGAGAACGACATGATAACGACTTACGATGATCAGGTGTGACGATAACAACGACGATACATTAGGGTGATAACGATAAACACTCCCAATCGACCATGTAGAGTTCTTTGATACTCTACCAATGATAACACATCGACAGAGTACCGTATGATGATACAACGGATTATAGTATTTCGACAGAGTATAAAACGGAGGTTGAATATTTCGACAGAGTATACACATGAGGATTAATAATTTTTCGACAAAAAATACACAAGAAAATACAACGGAAATCGGTAACACTCGACATGACGTTTGTTAAGGAATGACATCCCTAATAAAAACACATTACAAATATGCCACCGATTCATTCATGTGTACAAAGAGTTTGTAGTTGGTGTTAATGTCATTACCGATATGTCTATTCTTCTAATCGGTTTTATTTTGTGTTTCAATTGTCTCGAAGTTATATGCAACCCACGCACGGACCCGTCTACCTAATCGTATGTAGTATATATATATATATTATATATATATATAATATATATATATATATATATTCTCCGTTGGTCGAGACATGTCAACGATTTTAGATTATATCTAACTTCTATTCTTTTGGAAAGTAAAAAATTTCGCGACGATTATAAAAAGTTACCATACGGAAGGAGGATGTTAGATTATCTTGTTTCAAGACGTGTTTTTTGAATACCAAAACAACATTTAACGATATTTAAAGAAGCTATATGTCTTAAAAATATAAAGACCGTCGATCCAAGAGAAACAGTAAAAACATTGCCGAAAGTTATTCGTGGTGACCAACATTTATTAAAGTTTATAAAAATTAACTTTAGTCGTAAAGTAGAAGTGAAAGCGAATATGTCTGAACACGTATATCAGAAAGAGAGCTCAATTTTGCATGGAATATGTCGTTTATGTATTACTAGCAATCACATGTTCATCC